GGTGCATAATTCCTGTTCCCGTGTACCTTAAGCGTTCAGATTTGGTGGAATCACAGGCGGCAGGATGGGGACCCTGAAAGTAGGTGGCAGGCTAGGCTCACAAGACGGATTTATTCGTCCCGTGAATTTGTTACACAGTAACTTTAGTACTAACTGGGGCGCGTTGTTTGCTTGAAGCGCGGGCGATAAATAACTTCAAGCTCCTACTTTCGAAATTCTTCTTTGCAGAAACAACAAGTCAGGCTTTTATTTTGTCAGTAGGAATGATTATCGGGAAAAGGGAACGAAAGATGAAAGACCAATGACATTCGCTCCAGCAGAAGTGTTCTTTGATAATACTTGTTTTTGGAAATTCTCGTAAACGGTGAGGTAGTGGTGTTTACTGGTTAAAATTTACCTTTTGTAATACTTGGGGTCGTATGGATTGTTCCGTTGTGGAGGACGCTGTATGTTCTGCTTGCTTAAAGGCACGGTTCACGATAAAAAAGATTACTGAGTTCTTCTTTCAGGAATACTCAGTGCCCCCCATGGGTGGTAGAAGGGCATAGTGGAAGCCCCGTTGCTGCCGTAGTTCGCTTTCCCGCCCCTCGATCGGTGTCACATTATACGAGTGTCGAGACAATACAGATTGCTATTATTCGTTCTAGGACCCACGCACAATCAGCTAATCGCCGAGTGATGAGGCGATGTTTTTCTCCCATTCTTTTTTCCTCTGTTTTTCTTTTTGCTGCCGCGATCCCTTACTCAATTTCCTACTCCTAGAGGCTGAAAAAGGTGAGCTACTTTTGCTGTTACTAGAGTTTTTGTTTATTTATGCTTATAAGTGAATGAATTCTTGCTTACCATTGTCTGTTATTCGCACCAGGACCCACACGCACGCAGTGAAACACACTGTTGAACACACGCCCCACTCTTCTTCATTTTTCCGGTTTTGTTCCGTCCAGCCCCTTTTTAACGGTTTTTCGAAGCCTTTTTTCACTTTGGAAACACCGATACACGCAGTCTCTTCACCTCAGCCGCACTAGTATCAATCTTGTCTTCCATTTTTCATCATAATCTGGATTACCCGAAATTATCGTAAACTGTGCCTTTAAGAGGAACAATGCATTATCGCGAGACCTGATTTTGTCGATACAGTTTGTTTCTTTATATAGTTGCACTGTTATTTTTATTTGAACTTAAGGTTATCTATTTCCCTTATTAAAGCTGCTCACACATTTGAAATTTATGTGCTCCCATATCGCACCTTAGAACGGTCCAGCATACCATTCATTTCTAACCGGCCAATATTCTAGTTGTATTTGTATTACAATGGGAACCAAAGAGATAAAGAGAATGATCCGGTTGATGAAAAGTTGGGAAATCATGCGAGCAAAAATAAGAAACTCAGTACCAGCACATTTAATGCAAAGAGCAGAGCTCGTCCCCAATTTTTTAGTTATAACCGTAAATGACCAGGAAGCCTATGTATATACCTTTGAAAAAGATATTCATGAGAGTTACTCTCCGAACTAATGATTTAATAGGCTAACTTCTCTAAAAGGCTCATTTTTCCCCTTGATTACGTACTAGACTTCCCGAAGGGGGAGAGGCATACACGAAAATTAACAAGTTGGACCTTGGTCGAACAGATTCGATAGCTCTACAGGTGGCAGCACGGGAATGCTGAGGGCAGGTGACACGACCGAAGAGTAAAGGAGAGGAAATGAACAAGGTCATTTGAATACACGTGAATTGAGCGGGAGTCCGCTCATGTGGGGCAAGGCGCTCACGATATGTGTGTGTTTGGCCCGACATTTATAATTTCTGTTTTCCTGCACGGAAGCTTGAAAATTTGAGAGGGTGCAGGCAGCAAGCCAAATTTACACGGAAAGGAGGAGAGCCCGGCATTAGTCGGGCATTCTGATTTGTGCGTATAAAAGTGTGGTTATGTTGTGCCGGAATGATGTAAGAGCAGAATGCCGTACTAATTTTCGATTCTGTGGGGATGTCTGTTGAAAACAACTTTTTCTGCTACCGCTCATTAATTTGAGTAGTATAATAACTTTATTGCTCACTTGTTAGTCTTTTTGATGCAGTATAGTCTGGAGTGTTTGTGGCAGTCATCTTAGGCGAAATCTAGCAAGCAAATCAATATTATTTGAAAGACTCATTTGTCGTATTGATGTGAAGCAACATTTCAACAATCTTTGCTAGGTTACATCTCATGTGCTCCCTGAGAACAGGAGTAGTTAACAAGGAGATTGAAAGAAAGAATTGAACGGGAGACAATTGTTGTGGCTATTAAAATGATTCGGAAATATTTTTGCTTTTGGACACGTAATACTGCAATTTTCGGTTTTTCAATTTTTGATTTGAAAGGCATTGAGTGTCCTTTGTTTCCAATCATACGACTGAATCCAGATTTGATTTAGATTGAGATTTATTAACATGCGTGCGCACATGTTATTCAAAAATGTAATTCACAGATAGCTGTAAAATCAAGTAAACTCTCACTATATCAGAACAACTCCAACATGATAATTGAGTAATATAGAATATGACTATAGTGAAAGGCAGGAAAATTGAAAGAGCACAACCAAAACAGTACAATGGAACGCTAGTAAAAGTTCCCTCATGTGAGATAATTGTTAACAATTCTTTTGAAGCTCGGAAAACAACACGGAATCTGCAAGTTTTTACTCAATTGAGTATATTCATAACCTGCCCTGAAAAAAAAGAACTTGCGCCGCAAAACGGACTTAGGTTGCTGAAGCACAGTTTTAAGACTTTGGCCGTTTGTTTTATGAAACTTGTATCACATTTTTTTGTCTTTCTGTTTCACATTTTTCTTTCAGTCCTTATTCCTCTCCTTAGCAAAATCGCCCTTGGAAATGAGAAAGTTTTTCAATATGCGCCGTAGTCTGATCCTTACTATTGTATATGTTGCGCTTACACATCATTTCTTTAATTTTCTCGAAAGAACCCCATAGTCATTGATTCATCGTTCAATTTTTAGGCTTAACGTTGTATCTCACAAAGCTCTTCCATGTTCTCTTGAGGAGTTCAAAACGCAGCTGCATAGACTAAACCGGATGTGGGTGTCGGTAGCACGGTCTGCAGGATTGAATGCAACCTTAATAACACGCCTCAAACTTGAGTCGCCTTGTTGCCCAGTCCTGTATCTGCTCATAAAGACACATAAGTTTTTAGATGCAGACGACCTAGCTTCGATAAATCCCACTTCCGTGAAAGTTCGTCCTATAGTAAGCTGCGTGGGTGGTCCTACTGACCGAATCGCTTGGTTTCTTAATACCATTTTAGTGCAGCTTCTCAACTTCATTCCTTCCCATCTCACTAACACCCAAATGTTTTTGGATCGCCTTGGCGCACTACACCCCAGTGGTTCGTGCGTTATGGAATCCTTTGATGTGGAAGCTCTCTATACGAATGTCAGCAATGGGTCTGCTATGGAAGCTATATTCGAGCTTCTTGGTCAGCACCAGAACGATATTAGTATGCGAGGGCTGTCTATATCCCAACTGATGACACTCGTGAAGGAGTGCCTCAGTTGTAACATTTTCAAATGGTCGGGAAGGTATTTCGCACAGACTAGAGGCTTAGCTATGGGGCAGCGATTGGCGCCGGTTTTGGCCATATCGTTTATGGCCAAGATTGAAGCGCCTGTACTGGAATATATGCCCTTACTTTACTGCAGATATATCGATGATTGCTTCATAGTCTGTGCGACACAGGAAGAAGTGGATGTGTGTTTCGGCCTACTGAATTCACAATCAGAGCACATTAAGTTAACACGGGAAAAACCGACCGAAAATTGGCTTCCGTTCTTGAACGTTCAAGTGAGGTTACATGGCGATATGATTGTTACGAAGTGGTATAGAAAGCCGAGCAATAAGAATATCATTGTCCATTATCACTCAGCTCATCCTTTTCATGTAAAACGAGCGGTCGTTAGGAATATGTTCCGCACTGCTAAGACGGTCTGCACTGGAGAGGATGAGCGAAAAGAGTCGCTTATAATGGCACGCGATATAGCTCGGTCTAATGGCTACTACAATTTTCCAAATTCACGTAGAACTTCTTTTGGCGGTGTGATTCTCAGACATGGTAGTACCTCGATTGAAGGAAAAATTCCTTTTGTACTACCATTTATTTCTGATGAAGTCAGTGCCTGCATTAGAAAGTGTCTAAAAAGATCGGGTTTGGAAAATTTAGTTACCATTATAAACGTACCACCTTTCAATCTAAAGAGACGCCTGGTTCGGAACAGGCTATACGATCGCCTATGTACCACCTCAAACTGTGTGGTTTGTCCAGCTGGAAGGGAGGGTGATTGTAATATGACTGGGGTGGTCTACAAAATTACTTGCCGTGATTGTGGTGACGAGTATATTGGAGAAACGGCAAGACCACTACACGTGAGGGTTAAGGAGCACATATATGGTATGAGACGATTGAAAGAGTCTACTGCCTTGGGGAGTCACCGAATCCAAAAGCATAACGGAGGCGTTTTTGAGGTCACCGTGGAGGTCGTAGCACAGGAATCGCAATTGTGCGCACGTAAAACCCTCGAGCCATTCTGGATACAGGTCACCAGTCCCAAAATGAATCGTAGGGAAGAATGCCTCGCAATCACGCGTGAGCTACGACCTTATATAAGACTGGCCTTCCCGCAGAGACTTTAATGAGAACATACCCCAGCTTACACTGGTCGGTTGGTACCATCACTCGCTGGGTGGTTTCGAAGAATCTACAAAGCTACGGTGAGTGCTTCTCCTTTCAATCACTTGCGTGCCCTGGGGGTCACGAGCTTTAGTGGGGTTGGTTTAGACGTTTGGTCGGATAGTCACAGATTGTTATGATCCTTTCAGGCTCTGAAGAAGGCGATTCCGCCGAAACGTCAGCCTAATAAAGCATACTTAAAAACCTCGTGAAGAGTTCAAGAAAACAGTGAACTTCACAAAGCTGTCTCGCTTTCTTGTGTAATCTTGCATTTTCAGAGGCTCCGGAAGCTCTAATTGATCTACTGATGAACGCACAAGGACGACGGATGGACGAACAAAGGGCAACACTGCTACCTGGTTTGAATAACCAGGAACAAGCTCACGAACTCATTGAAAAACTTGGGTTGGTTTTTTGTAGCTTTTGTCTGAGTCTTCAGTCGTCCAGTGGATTTCGCTAGTGGATTGCTTGCGTAGGTTTTCTCGCATTAAAGTTAATTAGGCTCTAATTGAGACATGGCCTCCGGAAAGGGAATACTATCTTAGTGGAATTTTCCACTCCGGCAACTGCTAAACGTGCCATGTTTGCTTATTCGGTTATGTATATTACTAATATTCCTTTCGGTATACTCGTACTTCGGAAATGAGCGAGAAATAGAGCTGTAGATTTGGTCTAAAGGCGTCTGTGAAGTGCGTATTGCTGTTGTTTTCCAAAAATTGCACTACTGCGTAAGCATCAGGTTACATCATTAGAGTTCTATTTAACGTTCATAGAATCCTCTATTTTTGGGACAATTTACTAAGCGTAGACGATCTAGGGATAAACGCTGTGGTGATAGATGAGAAGTCATGCTATATGCTTAAAAAGGCATATAAGTTCGGCAAGTTAAATTTTTGAAATCGAGGCAAGAGACATGGCTCATTTCTTCTGGAGTGGAGCAATCAGCCTCAAACACCAGCGTTTCCACCGTACTTTTATGGATTTTTTTATGTTTTAAAATTCTCTATAGATTTATTTCATAAGTTTCTGAAATACTTGGTGCTCGTGTAGGGGACGCTCTCACGATTGTTTTTCTTTTTGGTGAAAATGTAATTGGTGCGCAGGAAAAGGGGCATCGCTTTTATTCAACACTGAGCGGTGAGAAGGAGGGGTATCCGACGCTCAAGAACATTTCTTAGCTGTTAAGGTATGTTTTTTTCACCTAAGCCTAAAAAGGAAAGGAGCACCGGGGTGGGTGAGTCAATTGAACCTTCCATTCTTACTTCATCCCAGTTTTTTGCCCGAGGTGATCATCTCACACACCCTGTGGTGCTCTTTCCATTTTAAAATAACAGTTCACGATAAAAATGGTTACTGAGCTCTTCTCTTGAGAATATCCAGTGGCCCCCAAGGGAACAAGAAGGACAATCACGCGCCCAAAAACTCGACGATTAGGGCATAGTGGGAAACCCGTTCTCGGCACGCGCGGACTTTCCGCCCCTCGATCGAGGTCACGTCAGACGAGTGTCGAGGCGATACAGATTGCAAGTATTCGCGTGAGGACCCGCACACAATCAAGCTGAACCTGATCGCCGAGTGATGAGGCGACGTTTTTCTACTATTCCTTTACTCTCTGTTATTCTTTTTGCTGCTGCGATCCCTTGTTTAATTTTCTACCCCAAGAGGCTAAAGAAGGGGAGGGGGGGGGGGGGTATTTTTGCTATCACTAGGGGTTTTTTGTTCACTTATGCTTATGAGTGAATGAATTTTTGTTTACTGAAGTCAGCTATTCGCAACAGGACCCACACGTACGCAGTGACCACATTGTATAGCTCGTTCAAACGCCCCGCTCTTCATCTTTCTGGTCTCATTCTCGTAATGCTCCCTTTTTAACGATTTTTTGAAGCATTGGAAACTACGATTCATGCATTTCTTTGCCTTCATCGCATTAATTTATGCTTTATCTTCCATTTCTCGTCGTGATCTGGCTTACCCAATATCATCGTGAACCGTGCCTTTCAGGCTTAAGCAAAAACTATATTCCTTAGGCTAAGGACCTTCCTCTAAACACAATTGAGGTTGGCTACCCCTCCTCTGCCCTTTAGCGCTGTTGGAAGAGAGCGGTGCCCCTCCGCCCTCCCCAACTACATTTTCAACTTTTTTTCTGGAATTGCTCATTGGGTGGATAATCTTAGTTGGATATAACCCGTGTTCGAAATTGTTCCAAAGTGAAGGCGACCAACTTTTGCCATTTCATTGATTACGCTCGGTTTCGTAAGTCGTGATCTTTCACTCCTCGCATCCTAATCAATTCCTTTTGTACTACCATTTATTTCTGATGAGGTCAGTGCCTCCATTAGAAAGTGTCTAAAAAGAACGGGTTTGGAAAATTTAGTTGGCATTGTAAATGTACCACCCTTCAATCCAAAGAAGCGCCTGGTTCGAAACAGGCTATACGATCGCCTATGTACAACTTCGAATTGTGTGGTCTGTCCAGCTGGAAGGGAAGGTGATTGTAACATGATGTCTGGGGTGGTCTACAAAATTACTTGCCGTGATTGTGGTGATGACTATATTGGCGAGGCGGCAAGACCACTCCACGTGAGGGTTAAGGAGCACATAGATGGTATGAGGCGAATGAAAGAGTCTACTGCCTGAGGAGTCACCGAATTCGAAGGCATAACGGAGGCGGTTTCGAAGTTACCGTGGAGGTCGTAGCACAGGAGCCAGAATTGTGCGAGCGCAAAACCCTCGAGGCATTTTGGATACAAGTCACTGATTCAAAAATTAATCGTAGGGAAGAATGTCTCGCAATCACGCGGGAGCTGCGGCCCCATATAAGATTGGCCTTCCCGCAGTGACTTTCAATGAGGATTTACCCCAGCTGACACTGGTCGGTTGGTACCATCACTTACTGGGTGGTTTCGAAGATTACATGAAGCTACGGTGAGTGCCTCTCCTTTCGATCACTTGCGTGCCTTGGGGGTCTCGAACTTCGGTGAGTTGGTGGGGACGTTTGGTCGGATAGTCACAGATTGTTATGATCCTTTCAGGCTCTGAAGAAGGCGATTCCGCCGAAACGTCAGCCTAATAAAGCTTGTTTACAAACCTCCTGAAGAGTTCAGAAAAACAAACTCAACAATACAGTTACGCCGAGGTTCATAGGAAGCCGCACTTGGAAGTTTACTTCTTCGTCCATCTACAGGGTGCGTCAAAATATAGCGACAAGGTATTTATTTGAATCGTCTCTAGCGACTAGCTTACAATTTTAGCGAACTTACAATGCAACAACGTTCATTGTTCTCCTCAGAATTAAAAACATTCAATAGATCTCGAAAATTCTTTCGTTGGTCTCGATGCATGCCCTGAGACACTCGTGGAAAACATCGATGGTGGCACGCAAGTATCGCACGCTGAGCTTGTTTCGCGTCTTCTCAAGAGCTCTTTTCACCGAATCCACAGAACGATGAGGTTTCGAGCAAGCCTTTGTCTCCAGAACGGCCCACACACTGTAGCTCATGGAATTTAGGTTCGGAGAGCAAGCCGGCCACTAGCTAAAGGCGGTTACGTCGGGGAAGTTTTCCTTGCACCACTGTTGCACGGTAGTCGACCTGCGAGCGGGGGCTCCATCTTGCGGGAGGGTCCAGAAGCGGTTCCCATAGTGAGAATTAGCCCAGGGGTGCAGTTTATCCTTTGAATAATGTCCATTTCTCGCGACATTCTGCGAGACGACTGCGATGGCTGTCTCCGAATCCTCTCACGTACCTTCCTTGGTAGCGGGTAATATAAGGAAGTACGCCTATAAGGAAGGTACGCGTAGAGGGTGGCACGCCTTCCTTTTCCGGGTCGATCGTCTTCAGTTCCTAGCCCCTGTAGCGCTTAATGGTTCTGTGGGTGACACTGCTATGTACACCAAGACGCTGGTGGATTTCGAGTGCCGAAACTCCTTGAAGATGAAGTTTGATCGTAGCAGAGCGGTAGCAGGATGGCTTAACCATTGTGGCAGTAATAAATATGAGCGTTCAAATAGTTTTGGTATGGTAAGGTCAACATTAAAATATGGAGAGATTTTGGTGACTGGATGGTGATTTTGAAAAGTGGTTCAAAAAGAGCGCGCATGTGCTGTCGCCATAAGTATAACGCACCCTGTACTTACGTCTTGCGTCATGGTTAGCCAGAACACTTCCTTGTGCATTTTCTTTAGCAGCTTGGATGACCTAGAATGGCCTGCTACCTCACCCGCATTGCTTCATGAAAAACCTCGCATCATGTGCTTTTCGGGACCACCCATACCAAGGCGCCGTTTTCAGAAACAATTGGGCTATGCACACGGGCGCGTGCATTATACAGTAGCGCTCAAAAGTCTTTGGCTAAATGTTTCTTCACCCACACTTTTTAATCGTAACTCCTTTCCTACAAGATCTAATCATGCGAAATTCCGATATGTTAAACATGGGTGTATTGTGAATATTTACCACTGTTAACCTGCAATCTGATCATGTTCCAGATATCTCAGAAAGCTTGAACTCAAAATGTTTGGAAACATGGATAATGATCCTTCTAGAACTTCTTTTCTTTTTGAGAAATCTCAAGTGCACGAGCGCTAACACCGAACACAGTAGGGGAGAAAAACGCCCATAGGGTGCGAATAACTGTAGATGTTACTAACTTTGCTTTTAGCGAATTCTGCTACCGCAGAAAACTCCTTCAATTAGTTACATGACTATTGCTGTCTGACGTCAAATAGTGATATATAGTGCTAAAATGTTATAGAGAAACACATCAAAATTTCGCGCGATTTGCTTTACTAAGAAAAATGTTGTGAACGAAAAGCGTAAAAGCGTTTGGCCGAAGACTTTTGAGCGCTACTATATCTTTCACCACCTTCTATGGTGCCTCTGAAGAAGAAGTGGAAGAGAAAAATGCTAGAAGGAAAATGTGTGAATGAGTGGAGCTTCCTAGAACACATGATCTGAGCTACGTTCCAGCCACGGAAGGCGCAGTGTCGTGAGCGTGGTTTCCGCAATTACATAATTCTGTCCCGCTGTACCTAAAGCGTTGAAGCTACGGGATGTCGACGACCGCTTATCTACGATAGAGTCATTCAGCGGAATGTTGGATGCTCAGAATAACATAGTTCTCTCTAGATTTGAATGATGAACTGCTCAGAGCATCATGCTCGATGTGTTTCATTTGAACAGAATTATTAGAGTCGATTATAGCTCCGTCCATCTCTGTGCAGACCCTTCCCACTATAAAAACTTAACCACCCGCCTTTTAAAGGCACTGTTAACGACTAAATGGTTTCGAAGATATGCACATGGTTAGAACTCTGAGCCCCCTCTGATAACATTTGTGCAGGAATTAGGTCGGAAAACGGCTGGATAGGGCACAATAAGGCAAGGAACAGTGGGGGACGCGATGCCTCCGCCCCTCGTTAGGCTGACTACGTGTTCAAGTTGTCATTCACCACGTTCGCACTGGAGCGAAGCTGGTGAAAAATCGATACGCAGATTGGCAAATAGCCAGGAATGATCAGCTGGTCGACCGCCTCGTACAGGAGCTAGTATTCAACTGTTATTTCTATTTTATGTTTGTATTTCTATTGTTTTTTTTTGTTATGAATTTTTTACGGTAGCATTCTTTAACTATTCTCGTAAATTTATTGAAGATTTTAACATATTTTGTGTAGATTATTGCATGCAAATGTTTTTTTTATTTAAGAAGCTCCGTTAAATTCGATGTGTTGTCTGTATTGCAGACACTGCGTCGCCTTCGTTCACTCCCTAACCGCCGTTTTCCAATGTGAAAGATGTCCAACCCCACTTTCTAGCACTTTTTTGTCCCTTTGTAATACTTTTTGTTGCTCGTTTTTTTTGCGCTTTTTCGTTGTTATCGCTTTATTCTGAAGTAGTTCTACCTATTACCGTCAAAAAAGGGTACCCTTACTTTTTTGTTAACAGTGCCTTTAACTGCTCCTACCCATTTTCTCCACATTCTATAGAGTTTTCGATGAGATGAATTTTTGGTTCTAGCTCCGCTTCCCTGTGCCAGCTCCGTCCACTTCGAGGACTTGACCACATTCGTTCCAAAACCTCTAGCCACTATTTCCCGCATTCTGTAACGTTTCTGGACCGAGTTGTGAAATTTTGAACTAAGCCCCGCCCACTTTGGTGCCAACCTCGCCCACTTCGAGGATTTGACCACATTTGTTCCTTTACCTCTGACCACTTTTCCCCATAATCTAAAACCCTTCCGAACGAAGTGACACTTGTTTTTGAAAGTAGCTTTCACCTCAATGCACGCTCCGTCCATTGTGAGCGGGCCTCCGCTGACGTCATTTATGCTGTAGACACCGTCGACAGTGCTTCCCCTACATGAACTTGTTCCCGCTCGGTGGCTTTCTTCAAACCCAGTTAAAATGTTTCCATAAAGTATTGCATTTTCGAAGAGCGCCCCGCCCACGGGGGTGGGTCTCCCTAGTTCGACCTAACTTACCTATGCACACCTCTGGCCCGCCCTTACCCCCCAGCTTTGAAGCCGTCTTGTGACTGAATTTGAAACCATGGTCTTCAGTACAGCTCATTTCGATGCACGCCACGTCCACTGTGGGCGGGGCTCGTCCAAGCTGATGTGTGCTTCATACTTCTCGGGACATGGCCCACCCATCCCACGCTTGACCCGGTCTCTCCAGGCGATCTAAAGGAGCTAAGGAATTTCGTGACAGACATACAGACAGAACGACAGAGGAAGCGTTTTATAGTAAGTAGGATGCATTTTAAGATTTCCGTTTTCCACAATATAATCTGCGACTTGTATTCAGTTGTTCGTGCCGGCCTACGGACTACTTGAACTCGGTTCCTTTAAATTTGCCGGATGAGTCATTTTTCTGCCCTCGTCTGGCACACTCCCCTTTGACGTGTTCTTTGAGTGTTGTGCTCGCCTGTCCAATGGGACCCCCACCACCACCGTTGTAGGCTTCACCCGGGGTGTTTTTCTCTGCGCTCTAGCTTTTTGCCGTCAGGGACGTAGAGGAAGTTCAAGTAGTCACGTAACCCGCATTCTCATTGTCCTATTCAAGTCATCCTTCTTTACAAGGGAAGGATATCGGTCGCAGTGGCCATTCAAGGTAAGATGTATATTGCCTTAGGTGGTTTCGAACGCTGATCTCAAATCTGTGTTTCAAATCTGCTAAACGATTCTGGAAACAAAGTTACGGGACCAGTTCCTCCCTGTGGTACACCTTACCATGGAAACTACGTTTCGAGTTTCTTCTTTTCCAACATTTATTCTCGAACTGTGAAATTCCACAGGTAATGTAATGAATTTACATCAGTTTTAGTTCTTTTTTGTCGACTCCCATAAAATAACAAATTAAATGCTGAACTTACCTATTTTTCATATCATGCGACCAGTGTATGGTAGACGCAAACTGGTGGATCTGCATTGATCTGTACCGGCCATGTTTCCAGATTGTTTATGAGTCATAAGACCATGAATATACATTTACCATCCGATAAAATTACTGTTTATGCAATCTCTAATCGGTGCTCGGCTTATGAAATAAATGATTTGGGAGGCCATGCAGAATTGAATTTAGTGAAATTACTATTCTTGTCAAATCTAAACGGTCTCCCAACCCTTTAGGTGTGGAAAGTTATTTCGCCTGAATAAAGCGCATTAGGGATTACGACGTTGATGAACGACATACTATACCAAGGGAAAACAAATAGGGTAAAAACGATGTCATTCAGTTCGGCAACTGGTGAAGGCAGTGATTCGAGGATTGATGACACTCTCATTGACATGCTCATGCGTGCGCAAAGTCACAGGATGAATGAGCAGCGCTCCGAGCTTGCAAGTGATCGGAAGAACACCGTAGATGCTGGTATACCTTCGCATTTCTTGTAACATTCCTATCATTCGGTACTTCACCGGACGCCAGGAGTTCAATTTTCTCCTTTTTTTAGATTTATCTGCCGTCACCACTCCGCAAGACGATGTGTCCGCTTTGGTGATGCGCATGCAGTCTTGCCGATTCGAGGAGCAGCGTGCTTATCTGAGAACGGAAAGTAATGAGTAACTGTTTAGGACTCAATTTCGAGCTTGACTAACATTATCGACTTTTGTTTTTCCGCTCTCAGCATTGCTAGAATTTGGTACTCTGATTTCTTACTTTGCGGTTTACTATTATATATGATTTCTGTTGTATGGGCTTGCTTAGAGTCTCTTATTCGTATTGGTGATAAGCGCTATAACGACTGAGAACTGACTTATAGTCATTCTTTTACAATATGTGAACGCATGCTCATAAGGCCCTCACTGTGGCTTCTACCTGAACGTAATGAGAGTAATGCGCCCACCCCTCGTAATATTCTGTTCCTGGACTAGCGGCAAAAGATTGTAGTGCGAACCAATGTTAGGTGGGACTTTACGTTTTGTATGAACAAATATTTTTGGCCATTCGTGCATCATGCTACCGTTTTTCTTTTTTCATACATCTACTAAAGTTGTTGGCTACATGAATCCTTCTGATACCTTATATTGTATGAATGACTTCTCTCGTTTGTTTGTTATTTCGCCAGGCGGCGTACCTTATGTCCTTCGTGGAAGCTTTCTTGTATTAGTGTACACACCCGTGGAATCAGGTTTAACATTCATATTATTTGGAAATGACATAAGATCTTTGTGTTTTTCGTTCGACCCTCACATATTTCATGTTTTGGTTCGACATCCACATAGTTATTTTAATGACCTTCTGTTTGTGTCATTATTTCGTTTGTTTCGTTTCCTGACTACTTGTAAGTGCATAAGTTTATGTGCATATAGATAAATATTGTATAAACCGTTAACATTGATGTGGTTGAGATGTTGTTCCAGTTTTTTTCTGGTATGGTTACCTATTTTACACGAAAGCGTTTTTTCTTTTATTTCGTTGCCAACGGGTTTCGATGGGTAAATTAGGCGTGAGTAGTGTTTTCCTAGAAGAAGCGAGTGCCCGACGGACGATGATGGAAGTGGAAGAAGTGATTCGGACTATATGCGCTATTTATGACCCTTCAACGTCGAACTCGTATCGCCTGGTGTGTACGCAGGTTAGGTTTCCTCGTTATTCCATATATTGATCCTGGTATTCTACGAAGGCACTAATCGAAGTTAACATGAGCATTCTTTGAAACTCAAAAAAATTCAGTCAGAATATAAAGAATCGTCCCCAAGGAAGCACACTATAAGTTATAAGCGATCCGATCCGATAAAGTAGGAGCGATGTGTATGTCAGAAGGGGCCATATTGTCATTGAGTGCTCATGTGCTCAGAAGTCAGAAGAAGTGCGTAATACACTTGAACTAAAGTGCAGAACAACCGTAATTGACATTCATTTCGGTAGCAGGGCTCGTAATGATGAGCATAACAGCTGACCACCTCAAAGAGGTTTCAATTCACTGAAAGGTCGAGAACGGGTCAGAATAAAAATTAGCATTATAGTCGAGAGATGGATCCAGTATGAATTTCCAATTTCATTTCACATAGTCTGCTGAGAAAGCTTCGGGTATTCAGTGCCATCCGTTGTGGTTGGTATTTTGATTATTTGGGGAGTGGAGGGAAGAGAGAAAGGAGCGGTATTTAATGGAAAATGCAGTGCCGTCTTGTTTTGACTTGATGTTTAGTTAACTTCTGTTATTTCGCCGCAGTACATATTCCGAAAGTCTCACAAGGTTCGCGATTTATGGACAAAACTTCAGTCTCGGACGACTCGAACCCGTACTTGTGCTTTCCAGGCACCGTGCTCTATCCCTTACACTACTGAGAGCCCGCTTGCCCTCGCCTTCTTAATGGTTTATATGCCATAGCTTATCAGCCCTCACATGTACAACGTGGTAAGCTATGATATATAAGCCATTAAGAAGGCGAGGACAAGCGGGATCTCGGTAGTGAAAGGGATAGAGCACGATGCCCGGAAAGCACAAGTACGGGTTCGAGTCCCGTCCGAGAGTGAATTTTTGTCCATAAATCGCCAACCTTGCGAAACAGTGCCGTCTATTGCTGGCAAAGTCGTAAAATCTCCTTAAGCCTTTGCTGTGTACGATGTTCTGAGCCTGATGCTACTTTCTAATGCTGNAGTCGAAGTGGCCATTTGAAATGAGACCTATACTGCCAAACGTAGTTTTCGATGCTGATTTCAAATCTGCATTCAAAATCTGCCAAACGATTCTGTGAACGAAGTTATGGAGGTGGTCTCCGGGGAGCGCTCATGCTAGTGGCCATTCGAAATGGGACCTATACCGCGGACGTATTTTTCGATGCTGATTTCAAATCTGCATTCAAAATCTGCCAAACGATTCTGTGAACGAAGTTATGGAGGTGGTCTCCGGGGAGCGCTCATGCTGAACATTTGAAATGAGACCTATACTGCTAGACGTATTTTTCGATGCTGATTTTATCTGCTTTCAAAATCTGCCAAACGATTCTCTGAACGAAGTTATGGAGGTGGTCTACGGAGAGCGCTCAACAGGAGCAAGCACAAAAGCCAGGGTCGCCGGCAGCCAAGCAGTGGCGGCTTGTAGTGGAGGTAAGCGTGTCACTTCACAGGC